TAAAAACTATAAAATTGTAAAATATTATTATAATTTAAAATTAACTGTTAAAAAAACTGTTCACAAGCAACCCAAACTGAATATATGGGTATGTTTTGTATATATTTACATAATCATGCAGACAATTCATGCAGTGGGAAGGAAGAAAAGACCAAGAGAAGAAGAGACTTTAAGAAAGGTTTATTTGCAGCAGATAGGAGGTAAATGTATAAGACATGGTGTTTGCCATGGGACTAAAGACTGAATTAGATGCATTGTAGTTAGACAGAGAAGACTCTTACCAGTTCACGTGGAAGGAACATGTCTTCCTGTCTGGCCACAACCAGACACACACTGTCCCCCTGCTTAGTACTGCGTAACATAGCCACAAGTTCCTCCTGAGAACGGCCGGTGATGTCCACACCGTTCACCTGAACACACACATGCACTCGGTTCCAATGGATTTCATATGCACCTTCACACTAATGTGAAATGAAAATGATTGGACTATTCTAGAAATACTCCATCTTACTCCAGAAAGAGACTCACTTCTAGGATCCTGTCACCTGACTGCAGACGGCCATCTTTGACAGCAGCTCCTCTGGGTAGGATGTTTTTGACAAGGATGGGACCAGGCCCATGTACAGAAGAATCTCTGGTCACAACAGTGAAGCCCAGACCTTCAGGACCTATGTGGAGATTGAGAAATATTGGAATGAAAGTGATTGATGGACAACCTAAACCTAATTTGTCAGCAATACTGCAGTAATTCATGTGTGAAGCCTATTCTATTCCGTCAGCACAATGTAAAAAATATCACCAATTTGTCTGCAAAAGAGGCTATCATTTAGAAAGTTGTATTTGAAGTGTCATATGGGTGTATAAACACCTCATAACATGTCATATCTTTAAAATAAATCCAGTTCAATAAATAAAATATTGGATGTCAAATGTTTGAGGTCAGTAAGATTGTTTTTTGAAAGTTTTATTCAGAAAGGATTGATTCAATTGATTAAAGGTGGCAGTAAAACAACTGTACTGTTACAGATACATTCTGAAAAAATCACGGCATCACGGTTTCCACAAAAATAAACAATGAAAAGAATAAGAAATGTTTCTTAAGCAGCAAATCAGCATATTAGAAT